TGACTATCCCTCTACCTCATCTAACATCCACAAAATGACCTGGACTTACGAAATAATGATGTTTGAGCCAAGTTATCCATGATGTTCATCGCATGCCCATAGAAAAATGCCTTATGCAAGCACTCCACCACAATGATTATCCCTCTACCTCGTCTAACATCCATAAGATGACCTGGACTCGCAAAGGATTCCTCTGTGAACTAGTTATCCAGGATCTCCCATAGCCTAGCAGTGGAAAACCGCTTAAAACAAAGACATCCTCCTACTGGGTGTCCTTCCATCTCACTTAACATCCAGAAAATGACCTGTACCCCTGAATGAAGAGAGCTCCTTCTATTATCCATCCAGCATCTGGGTATCCTGTGTCCCGCGACGCAGGGGCCTCGTGTCACTGGTCTTCGATGGGAATTCATCCGGCCAGTGCGCACCGGAACGGTCGTAATTCACCGAAGGTTTCGTCGTACGGTGGTCATATCGAATGCAGAAAGCGCGATATATGCTTCCGGTGTAAGAATGGGTGGAGTTGCTCCGTCGGCTGTCCCTTTAGCCCCCGGGGTCCCCCGTGTTGCGTGCACACACGCATTATACAACCGGCCTCCTCCTCCCCCGCCCGTCTCTGGATGGGTGTGCGTGCCGTGATTCCAGCTAAGTATTGGTGGTGCGTCGCATTGTTTATAGCCGCTTCTCCTCTTTCCCGACAAGAGGGCCGCTGAATACAAATTGCCCCAACGAGAGAGCCTCTCTCTTACCTGACCGGGAGGAGAGGCTATCGCCTCCGGGATATGTCGACGCTCGTTTGCGCGTACACGCACCACCCCCGTCCTCGTTGCACCCGTGAGACGCGTCAGCCGGTCGTTTCAACCGCGTTTGTCTTTTACGTTTCCTTCCCTTTTATTTTTTTTTTCTCTCTCTCTCGACACATTGCTACTTTACATCTTGATGAATCGATGGGGGATAAGGGAAGCTACCGTCACTTTATAGATAGTGTTTCGCCACGTATAGATTCTGGATAACTCCATTAGAGAAGATTTTCGGTGGATACTGGGGGACAACTGGAGCGACCATCGATTTTGGGATACCGGTGTTGATTAAGATGCTACCATGGCTGGCTTTGATGAGGTCCACTGGAGAATATTCTATTCGCTTTCTGGATGCATAAGGACATATCGATCATCAAGTGTGCTTTATGTACTGGTTTGGGACACTGGATGGCGTCCACCCACTGCGATGCATTCACTTTACTCCTTGTCCTGGGGCACTCAGGCACATCATGTTCTCTGTCGATTTTAGAAGCACCCAATCTAGATCCAATGGGGAAGACCCAATGTAGACTAGTTCGATCCTCCGTTAATCGGTTGCGTCGAGTACTTACACCATCGATTTTGAACTATGAACCTAGTTAAGTGAGGATCTGACCCCTTCCAAACTCTCAAGTCCCACCTCAACATGCCAAAAAACACGATTAAGTTAGGTTAGATCTGGAGCTCCCAGACCATCTCGACGAGTACTTAAACATACGAGTACCTACACCATCGATTTTGAACTATGAACCTAGTTAAGTGAGGACCTGATCCCTTTCAAACTTTTGAGTCCCACCCCAACATGCCAAAAAAACACGATTAAGTTAGGTTAGATCCACACATCCAATCCTATAGCCTAGTTTCACTACTATCTCAGGCTCTGACAATCCACCACTCATCGAGTACCTAATTTTTACATATGAACCTTTTTATCAAGAATCTGGCCTCTCTCAAGAAATCGAATCCCATCCTAAACACGGCAAAAACCACGGTTAGATCTGGGCTAGGTCCGCGGGACACCGATAAAAATGATCCTGCTCGTAATAACAGCAGCTTAGGCTCGCCGTCGGCTCGATCTCAGCGCGCACCGTAGCGGTGGGAGGAGAGAGCGACTGTACCGAACCACGGTACCAAAAATGAGGACGGGGCAGCTCGGCAGCGTAGGTAACTATCGAGGTGCAAGATCGGAATTGCAAAGCGGACAGGATCCCGCAAGGCGGGAGGGAGCGAGAGAGAGAGAGAGAGAGAGCCGTGCCGCGATGCGATCTTTACCCCGATATACGGAGAAATTCCGGGAAGAGGTACTTTAACGACTTCCAAACAAGATCTATGGAAGACCCCAGGTGACCTTCGTTACCATTACCATCCACGTAGAGAGCCTCTTCGATGGACATTAATGCCGCGATTCGGTCGGTTTCCTACTCGGGAGAGAGACGTGCCCCCATCTGCCCGCTGGCGCTCTTACCGCGCTTTTAATCTGGATGTACGTACACTATTACTTTTAGTAGCGACGTAAATCATAGTTCTGCAATGGAGATCCCGCGATACGGATGCGCCTTGGGTTCGGGACATCTGTTGTTCTTGATAGAGGCCTCTCGGGGGGGCTTTCGGGGGAGAGGAGTTTTTATTCTTAGTGGATACATGCGCTTTGGATGGTTAGGTTTGTTGTGCTTGGGTCTGGAAGTTCGTTAATGGCGAAGGATTGGACTTGCCTGAGCTGGAATATTGTTCAGAAGGTCCTGGGTGCCATCAGAATTCCCTAGTGGTGACATAGGAACTATCAGTGCAAAGGATATTTATTCTTCCTTGGTTTATATGTCCTCACTCAACTGTTAACTCTGGAGGATTCGACGGACCCCAAACTGGAATATTCTTCAGGCTCTCCAGAAGGCCCTAGGTGCCCTCAAAGGTTCCTAATGGGGGCTTGCAAACTATCAGAGCAAAGGATATTTATTCTTCCTTGGTTTGTACGTCTCGAGACACCTATAATCACGTCTGGAAGGTAGAGATGGTTCCCTCCAGGTTGATCAAAGGCCCTTCACAGGATCCCAACCTGATTTAGCTCTGTATCCAACTCAAATCCTTCATGAATATCTTCCTGAAATCTTCCTGAAATTCAACTTCTTGAAATGGTCCAGCTCCCATATCCTAAGAATCCGAAGAACAGTATCTACTGTCTTCCTATAATTTTCCTAAGTCTCCTGTATTGGCTCACTTCTCCACAAAAGAAAATAGAATACCACTGATCGTAAAGCATCGAGCGGACTCCAGCGCCAACGTCTTCGACACGTACAAAAGTACTTGCACGTTTCCCGCGACAAGCATTCGTTTCGTTTGAAAAGTGTTCCTCGTTGCACGTGCACTCGGTGTCGACCGGCCAGTCAGATCCTCCGATCGATAGGAGCCATTTACATCAAACGTGATATAAAGAGGGTAATCTGCTCGGAAGAATCGGGACACCTTCATTAGGGAGCGTTCCCTCCGTAAATCCTCTGGAAATCGATACGGTGCTTTTTGGACACTCCTGATTCAATTCTGAACTAATTATTCCTCAAATTGAATCATCGATCACCCAGAAATTAATTTCTTCGAGTGTCCAGACTCCAAGAATAGATCCCTTGAAGTAACTAACCACTCTTGCTGAGCTATTCAATTATCAACAATATTTATATGTTTACACCGAAGAGCAGGGATGTGTACTAACGTTTCCCTAACGATTTCTGTTCAAGGTACCGGAAACACGACCACGGACAACACGTACAAGCCTTCGTTCCTCACCGACCAAGAACTGAAGCACCTGATCCTGGAGGCAGCCGACGGATTCCTGTTCGTGGTGAGCTGCGATACCGGCAGAATCATCTACGTCTCCGACTCCGTCGCACCTGTGCTGAACTACACGCAAAGCGATTGGTACGGCACCAGCCTCTACTCCCAGGTTCATCCTGACGACACCGAGAAGGTGAGGGAACAGCTGAGCGCCGAGGAACCGCAGCACGGAGGCAGAGTGTTAGATCTGAAGACGGGGACCGTGAAGAAGGAAGGCCAGTGTAAGTTCTTGGCATCACTAGTGCTGAAGAGGGTACTGGGCTCAGATACGCGGGGGATATAGGGTACTAGGTAAGAATATGGAGCTATAAGGTACTGAGCTCAGCTAAGTAAGGCTAGAGATTGTTGGGCTCAGCTGTAGGAGGCTACAGGGTACTGAGCTCAGCTGTAGGGAGCTAGAGGGTACTGTGCTCTAATACAGAGGACTAAAGGGTATTGAGCTCACCTATAGAGGACTAGAAAGTACTAGGCTCAGCTATGTAAGGCTAGAGAGTATTTAATTCAGCTACGTAAGGCTAGAGAGTATTTAATTCAGCTACGCAAGGCTAGAGAGTATTGGGCTCAGCTACGTAAGGCTAGAGATTATTGGGCTCAGCTGTAGGAGGCTACAGGGTACTGAGCTCAGCTGTAGGGAGCTAGAGGGTACTGTGCTCTAATACAGAGGACTAAAGGGTATTGAGCTCACCTATAGAGGACTAGAAGTACTAGGCTCAGCTACATAAGGCTAGAGAGTATTGGGCTCAACTACGTAAGGCTAGAGAGTATCGAGCTCAACTAAGAATTCGTATACCCAAGGCTCAGCATGATTTTGTTCCTATAAACGAGGTTCTGCTATACTTGTTATGTATCTACAGGTTATTAACTGATCCCCATTCGATTATAGCCTGTAGGATACCAACTAATCTCACACAATATATTAGGTAGACTGGAAAGTAATGTCGTTTTTGTAATTTTAAATCTCTGTTTATCACTCAACACCTCGTTGATTTTTATTGGTCATTGAAAATGTGCACACTAGTTGGCTGTTGATAACGAGGGCGATTACATAATTGCTCAAAAATAGAAATTTATCAAAAATTTGTTTGAATCTAATGTAAAAGGAACGACATTACTTTCCAGTCTACCTAATACTAATCTACTAGCAATATACCTATACCAACTTAAACATAACCAAACTGCGGATGTTTATGCATTTATACCAAATGAGAATGTGGGCAAATGCAAAAATATCAATGATAATCTTCACGTTATATTCAGAAGATAAGGCGTACTTCCCCATTTAAGTTTCAATCCTGTATCTGTGACTTTGCATATACATCCGCAATCTAAATATAAAAGTTGATCCCCCTGGAACTGACCAATGCGTGTTTGTCCCGCAGCGTCGATGAGGATGTGCATGGGCTCGAGGAGAGGGTTCATCTGTCGCATGAAGGTCGGAAATCTTCAGACGACGGGCGACATGGCCGCCGCTCACGGTCTCCACCGCATGAAGCAGAGGAACTCGCTTGGTCCACCGGCCAGGGACGGTCAAAATTACGCCGTGGTTCATTGTACAGGATACATCAAGAACTGGCCCCCCAGCGGTGAGTCTCCTACGGGTTTCGACGTTTCGTCGTTAATCGTCGACGTGTAACGGTCGACCGCGAGCGCCAACTTTCTATTTTAAAGCGAGGGAGACGTCGTGCAGGAGGAATATGAACGAACCTAACCGACTTCGTAGAACACGGGGATAGTCGACGTTTGTACTGTAAATTAAGAGACGGCTAGCGTCTAACAGCAAGCTCAGGGTCGGTTTCACGCGATAGGAAACATGGGGCACTTGGAAGAAGAAAGAATATATCTTAGCACGTCACCCATACATGGGTGACAGTTTGATTATGTAGCTTCCAATAATCTGTATTTAAAATTTAATCACAGTAGAAATTTTCAATGGTATTAGTCTGGTAGACAACGTGTTAATATCCTAGAACAACTTTTCATAGAATCTAATCGTTGAAAACTAGCTTTCCAGCTTAAAAGCAAGTTTAAAAGCTTGTGTCTACCCTTGGTAGTAATTTTGTGCAATAATATCTTTCTATAAGCAAGTGTTATTAGGTTACGTTCAACTTCTAAAACTCCAATTTTATTTCCTCTTAATTTATTATTAAAGTTTGTCTCGGGTTGCCAGTGGCTAACATCGGCCCTGGGTAGTATACATCGGTTTATAAGAATGAATGGAATCGTCTTGACCTAACAGCCGACAGACGGGACGGAATACCGATAACTATGTCGAGACGAGCTGATGCGGAATTTGTATGCTTTATCGTGGCCACCGATGCATAATAAGGGGATCGGTGGACTTGCTGGGATTTTCGTGCGTCTCCACCTGGCGCGACGGTCTCCCCGTGTGAACCCCCTTAAATATTTTTTCTCGTCCAATTTTATTGAGCACCAATATCACTGTATATTATTCTTTATTCTAGTATTTGGCTCAGCTTCGTAATTTTATATTCCACCAGTTTTGTTTATTATTTTTATCTGAGCAAAACCAATTGCCAGTACGAATGACTATTATTTAAGAGTGTATTCTGTTTTTGGTCTTATATTCCGCATAATTCGATCACTGGCTTCGCTGTGTTTGAATTGAAACAAGATTTATCACTACTTAGCTAAAATTAGTGGTTACAGTATGGTATAGTTAACACTTTGTTCTTACTAGGTTGGATAGAAAACCAATGAAATCGCAATGGAAATAAAATGTGTAATATGTTTGATATATGTATACCAAAAGCTTTTACGTTCTATCCAACCTTGGTAGACTGTTGTACAGTTTGTAACAGAATTGTTGATATCGTATATATCAGCATGCAAATTATAATCAGTTAACGGTTATGGGGAATCTCAGACTGATTCAGAGTTTTACGCTGTAGGTGATTGTGTTCCCCCATGTGTACCAGGTGTGGGTCTAGGTGACAGGAGTAATGTTCAAGCTAGACCCGATGGTGTAGTTGCACATGAAAATGCAGGCAGCAAGTACTGCTTAGTGGCCATTGGACGACTACAGGTCACTAGCACACCAAATAGTAGTGATTTAGCAGGTTCCAATAGCAATAATGGTAAGTTGATCTGTCTTCCAATATAAATAATATAATATAACTATTGATATACAGAAACTCACTGTACACACGATGAAAAGTAGAGTTTTAATTCATCTATCTCCATTCCTCAGAATTTATTTCGCGTCATTCTGCGGAAGGTAAATTTACCTTTGTGGACCAAAGAGTTGGAGGAATTCTAGGATATACACCCTCAGACCTCTTAGGTCACCCATGTTACGAATTCTTCCACCCAGAGGATTTGACGCACATGCGAGAAAGTTTCGAGCAAGGTGAAATGTCTTAAGCTCTAAGAGGAACGATTGTCCACGCGTTCAATGTCGTTAATGAATACCTCTTCTTTGCAGTGCTGACGCTGAAAGGACAAGTAGTGTCTGTGATGTACAGATTTCGAGCCAAAAATCGCGACTGGGTGTGGTTAAGGACGTCTGCGTTTGCCTTTTTAAACCCATTCACCGACGATGTTGAATACATTGTCTGCACAAACACGCATGCAAAGTACGATTTGTTATCCTTTTGAATCTTTCATATTTTATTTGATCCGTTTAAATCGGTTATATTCTTTAGTCTTGATTTAATATAATTCAGAGATTTCCTTTCAATGTTTAAGGTCATTCCATCCTGGTAGCGATGGTCAGACAGAACCTGAAGCTGTACCTGCCTATGGACAACCTGGCTTAGATTATTCCCTTCAAAGACACCCTGCCAGAGATCCTTTATACTCGGGGCATCATATGATGCAACATCCAGCTACTGTAGCTGCAGCTGGTAATACACTATTTAATATGAACCGTAGCATTAATTAATGTTGAATCGTTAATGTGGTTTCGGATTTGTCAGGTCCTCAGCAGCCTAGGCCGTCCAGTACACAAAACGTTTATCAGGGATACGAGACAACGCAATCGCCAATAGCGTACGGTTCACCTGGACAGCAGAGCGCATCTTCTTCAGTTTTAAATAGAATTCAAAAGCCAGCTAACACATCTCCGACTCCAGTGCAACAAGCATGGACCATTGGAAGACAAGTAAATTGATAATGGATGTTTAAAAGTCGTATAAATGCTCTATTATTAACATTATTTTTCTTTCTATTTCAGCAACCAGTGACGGAAGGGTATCAGTACAGTCAATTAAGTCCGTCGAGGTCACCCAGCGGACCAACTTATACTCAACTAAGTAGCGGCGCTAGGACACCAGCTACGCAGTACCATGCAGTCACAACAGTGCCTAACAATCCTGGTAATTTGTCTTTTATTTTAGTTTACTCTCCATAATTGTATTTTTGGGGGGGGTGTCGCCATAAAACGCTTGTGTTTTGCAGGTATGTGGGGGTGGCAAAGTCAACAACACCAAACACCTCAGCAAGATGGCGGACAATCAAATCCTCAGGTGACAGGCCAAGCGCAACCACCTCATCCTGCCCAGGGTGGTCCTGGCACGCAACCCCAGGAACTCTCGGACATGTTGCAGATGCTACAGGATCAGGGTGGAGCATCTGGTTTCGAGGAGTTAAATATGTTTAATACTAATTTCGAGTAGCGTATAAGAAAATAGCATCGCCGACGAACGTCTACCTTAAAGAAGCATTAAGGTTCGAATCATTGGTACAGTCCCGGGATTATTCCGGGGATCATAATCAGCACTTTTACTTCAGCATTCAATCGATACTAAAGTTCGCAATTTAGCACCTTACGTGTAAACTTTAACCGAATTGACATCGAGGTTAGCACGACTTAACCTCGTATCGATCTTACTTCCTTCGCGAGAAGTTTCATTTTATCGCTTCAGACGGTATGATTCTGAAGATCGTACGAGATCGTGTAACAAAATTGTCGAGAATTCGTGAATATCGTTTTTTGTGAAAGTGCCATTAAATATCATCTCATAAAACATTGAAAATGGTCACTTATAATACGCACAGATGGATTAGGTGAGGAGACTTTGGAAAGCTTTTAACGAAACACGAATTTTAGAATTTGATATGAGAAATAATTCTGCGAGGATTGTTCAAACAAGAACTATGATTTATATTTTCGAGCGTAGTTTCGTTCGCTTCCGTAACTCAAACGTGGTTTGGGATCGCATCGAAGTAGTACTTATAAAGTACCCTTGTTCCGCCACTTTCCTTTATTGATCTGATTTTAGAGTGTAAGGAAAACATTTTTAAAACGATAGTATAAACTAGAAATTAAATTTTGAACACTCCTCGTTGTCTTAGGAAAAGACACAATTGTAGGAGTGAGGTTATGTTGGGGGAGTATTCGTTTCTGTTTGGTCCGAAAATTGGTTACATCAGTAATGTTTACTGATTTATTTATCTTCGAAGAAGATATATAGATTTCGTGTAATGGAAGCAACCTTGTTCGTATCTCGAATACTTATTAGAATATTTAACACGCATTTCCTAGACGCTATATTTTTTACTCGAAAGAAAAGAATACCCCCTTAAATTATACATGGATTTCAAGAACGAGGCGATAGAGAGGCCTAGGATTTCATTGAGCTGTTGTTAATTGATGTAAGTATATGTATAAATTTTTGGATAACAATAATGCGTGTGAGATTTCTAATCGTTCAGAAAATGACGCTTAGTTAAGATTTGAAACGAACATTGTATCGTGTACGATACGCTATCATTTTACATTGTTATAAGGTTTTAACGCCTCATCTGTGCTTATTGATAAGTAATACAGCATAATTTTCCTGCTCGCAGTAGCGATTTTATTTGGGAAAGAAAGAATGAGCACTTGGATGAATATTACAGAAGGGAGGTGCATTCTAAACGTTAAGAAACAAAAAAAAGTATTTTTAAAACTTCTCAATCAAATCTACACAAATCACGGTAATTTTAATACCAGCTTATCGTTAGATTCCTAAGATTAGCTTAATTATTTTAATTTAGATCCTTGTAATTATAAACAGTGCAATCATAAAGATCATCACCCAACGAGAAAAAAAAAAGAGAGAATTGTTTGAACTCGACGATGTACAAAAATTATGTAACTCACTTTGCTTCTCTGTGCAAGACACCATTTTTAGATATTCCTAAAGAAATATATAGATAATGTTACACATACGAATAATTGCATTTATAAGTAACCACGTGTGATTTAGTGCATTTGTACATGTTTAGCAAATTCTTATAAGCAAGATTGAACGAACAAAAAAAAATTGCAGCATATCATGATGAATTGGGAACATTTTTCACTAATATACAAAATATACATTACACGTATAATTCTTTTTAATCATCCTATGTCGAAAGTAGTTTCAATGCCATTGCTCTGACAATAATTAACATATTGAAGTCGTTGAAGGCATCAATATGTATATGCAAATGATTCATTAAATTTCAAAACAATATGTGTAACGCATTTTCAGATCCTTCATCCTATATTGTTTGCGGTTATTTTCGTTTATTGCTGCCTTTATAAATGTAACATTCGCTCGAAATTTAATTTTCTGCAAAGAAAATAGTTACCTGAAATTTAAATTGCAATTATTTAGAGGAAGAAAGGAATATGCACCCCTACAGAATGAACTTCTTATTTATAGATTCCTTCAGTGCGCTTATTATATTTAATAAATACATAAGTTGTACAAATTTCGAAACAATTGGTAATATAAAATGTTGGAGAATCGAAAAACATGTGAAATCCCTTGTATTTTATTTTACCACGTCGTAATTACCGCTTTACGCGTATGAAGTGTTCTGTTTACGTACGATGTGTCGAACAAATCGAATTCAATTAGGTTTCAGGTAGATCAAATCGAACATGCAAATATACAACATAATAACTTGTATTTAAAATATTTTATACAAAACATTACAACTTTAATTTAACCGCAGACACAGCATTTTTCTGTTTCTTTTTAGTGTCTGCGCCAGTCTTCGATTTAATATGGCTCTTCACTTGGTCTTGCAATTGGTTGAAGAACGCAGTAGACGATTTCGGAACCTTCTGAGCGGTTTCATCCATTTTTATGATGTTTCGACTCTTGCTTAGCTTCTTCGCCAATTCTGCGTCTTTCTTGTATTTCTTTCCGATTCCTGGCTTCGTTGCAATCAACTTCTCCTTCTTCTCCATGGCTTCTTGTCGCGCGCGTTGTCTCAACTTTTTGTGTCTTCGTTCCCGCTTCATGTCCGTTTTCGTTCTTTCCACTTTACCAATGAGATCACCCCGCTGTTTGGCTGCAAAACAAATAAAGAATTCAAGATTCGAAGTCTAAAGAAAATTGCGAGATATATACCTTTAATCTCTTCAGGTGCTAACAATGCAGCATCGCTGGTTCCTACTGGAGCCACCTCTTCCATGTTAACAGCAGGAATGTTGCTAATAATCTTGATCTCCGGCTTAGACTGAAACAAGAGCAAGAAGTACGAAATATAAAAAATTCCCAGATAAAAATAATCCTTTTCATCGATATCATACCGGTTTCGGAGTGTAATGGAAGTTAGAGAATGCATCCAGTTTCGAGAACACAGAATGCATCATTTCCCGAATTTCTTTATGCAATTTGGGTTCCTCTTCTTCCTTTTCATCATTCTCCGGATTTAATGCTTGCTTTTGCTTCAGGTATTCGTTCTCGTAAATTTGAGACAAGCTTTGTTTGCTCTTCTCCTGATCTAAGATCAGCTTCTTTTTGTACTCTAACGGAGTCTCCACTGGTTTGAATTTCTTTTCAACGTCGTCCCAGGCTTTGTCCTTTATTCTTTGCTTTATTATATCCTCTAATTTGAACGTAGTTTGCTCAGTAATGACGGGAGCAGGTCTACTGGTAATATCGAATTCAACGAATTCTTCCAACAAGGAATTCTGTGGTCTACTTCCGGCGCTTACTTCGCCCTTCAGTTGCCATGGTTTCTCTGCTAGTGCTTCTTCTTCTAGCTCTTGAATCCTTCTTTGTAATCGTTCTTGGCGAGTTTCGAGGGAGGACTTGATTTTTTCCTCGTTATCTTTCGTATTCGTAGTTTTATTTTCTAAGCTATCAGTTTCATCCGAATCGTTCGTAAGATTGAATGTAACTTTCTTTTTTGAAAAACTGCAATCTTCATCTTCGTTGTCCGTGTCCATCCTATTTTCCGAGTCGCTATTGCGTAGTAGTTCATCGTCCGTTTCTTTATTATCGGTATCTTTGTTTTTCATAGAAAAATTAGCTCCTTCGTCGTCGCTTTGCGGACTGTCGAAGAAATCTGCATATTTTACTAGTTTCTCTTCTCCAGTGTTATCATCGTCATCGGAAAAATCGTTAAATAAATCTACAGATTCATCATCGGATCCTTGGTCATGTTTTTCACTCTGTATTTCTTTCTTGTCCTCCTTCGTCAGATACTCGTCCAATTCTTGTAATTTAAAAAATTTGTCATCTACAACGGATGTTTTGGTTTTTAACTTTTTCATGAGTTTCTTCTGTTTCTTTGATTCTCTTTTCAACTTTGCTTCCTCGTCTTCCGAAACTTCTTCCTCAGAAATATTCTCTTCTTCCATCTCTACATTCTTGTCACTGCTATGTACAATTTCAGGTTTACTTGTGCTAATCGGCATCGTCAACTTCTTACTTCCAGCTAAAACCTTTGAGACATCAGTCAAGAAGTGTATAAGCTCGCTTTCATTTTGCAATTCGAGCTGCTGCCAGATCTGCTCTTCGTCGAAGCCTTCTGTTACAAGCTCTGGCAGGGCATTTGTGTTTCTTCCAGACTGTTCTTTTGTGAAGTCGTATAAACGTTTTATAGAATTCTTGAACTCCAGCGCTACATGATTTTGTACGCTATAAAAAAATGAACAAGAATTAGAGATAGACTGTTTTGATGTAGAATAGGTTAGAAAAAGAACACACAAGAAAATGATACACACCTTAAAAATTCCTCTGGTTTCTTAGTGTTATTATCAATCGTCGAAATAACATGATTAAGTACTGTTTCAGCCATTGTACATTTACATTTATATTAAAATCTTTAAAGAATAATAATGACCGAAAGGTTATGTTTCTCCCATGAGCTATCTCCCTAGGATGGTAGCTATAGAGTATAATATCAACAATTATCGACGTAGATGGACTTGGAAGTGATAGTACCATTTATGGGTAAATCATATATATGGATGTGATAAAAGTAGAACGTGTAAAACGGCAGTATCGACATAATAACTAAGTGGCGCCATCTAGGTTCAGGAAGGAGAAACCACTTCGCCACTAGCTTGGGCGTTTCCCACGGATGGCGCTGATTAATTTAGCCTATAGCACTTGAGACTATAACAAATTTATGTTCAGAATATAAGTGGTTTTATTTTCAAGTTTTAATGATCACGCGTTTCAACAACCAGAAAGCAATTTATTAATTAACAAAATCAATCAGAAATTCAAAAAGGGCCACAAGCCCTCTACGTTAACTATGTGAACTTGGCACCCGACTTTTCAAAAATTAATTTTTTTTTTATAGAAAATGATACTATTTCGTTAGTACCTGATTGCACCTCCAATAGTTTGGTTTGTACCTCCACTATATAATAATTAACAAAAATTCAAAAAATGGTCAGCACCCGACATTGAGATTTTTGAAATCGGTTTTCCCCGATTCTTTAGAATCGTTTGTACCCGCCGGTCGGGTGTTGATCATTTTTTGAATTTTTTTTAATTATTAATTGGTGGAGGAACAAATAAAACTATTTGAGGTACAATCAAGTACTAACGAAATACTATCGTTTTCTATAAAAAAAAATTCATTTTTGAAAAGTCGGGTGCCAAGTTCACATAGCCCTCTACGTTTACCATGTACCGACATTACCGACAGTCGTCGATCTAATGTCGTCGTATTATCGCAGATGGCGCTGGCTGCTTGGAGGTTTCCGCGAACCGAACACCTTTCGTCGAAGAACCAATGGCGGGGGTAGAACCCGAAGAAACACGGCGAACGTTCGGAGTGGGGGACCAAGACGAAGAACCGCTCCGGTGTGCGAAGCCGCAAACGCATTGGCGCAGACCTCGGTACGGTTCGCGCGACACGCTACTGCTCCAAGTCGAAAACGCGTGCGTTTTACTCCGTTCGTTCGTCGTGTGCGCGTGTGTTTATCAACCTCACGGAACGGGACCAAGCGTGTACAAGAGGCGAGGAGTGTGCATTTTTGGTGGATTCTGTGTGCTCAGAAAGTGTTCGACGCAGTGTACCCACGGATTCTTCCAGTGCTTTCGTCGCTTTTTGGATAAGTTTCGTACACACGGAGAAAAGGTATGTACCAGGAGTCGCTAGTTCCCCGAATCGATCCCGCGGCTTGTCGTTCACTCTTATTCGACCGATCGAACGGCTGCCACGCGTTCCTCTTATTGGGAACGAGATTTTCGTCGATATAGTCGCTACGAGATGAATCTTACCAGTAATCGCGAGATAAATACAATCGTTACATGGAGATTCATTAAGAGGTTTTTATGTTTGATTGGAATAGTTCAGAATATATCAGTCTTCGATTATTTCCAGTGCTTAATATAATTTCATTCTCTGTGATTCGAATTTGTATTTAGATTTACTTCTGACGAATAGTGGAGAAAAGAATGCGTGCCCTTTATGATAACATAGTCGAATAGCTTCAAAAGCTAGCATCAAAAAGAACGAATCTATTCGTGGTTTTAAGAAATTTGTAGTCGTTGCATTAACGACTGTGAAAACAAAAGCAATTTAATACGTTTAATTTCGGAGCCTGGCAGTGAATGCAAACCAAGTCCAGTACTCTGCTGAAGGGAAAGAGGATGAAATTCAATTAAGCGTTGTATATTTTACTCGTTATTCGAAATTGTTATCTCGATAGAAATGTTGCCTGGAATGGTGGATACAAAAGAGCTCGCGATTAGGCTCTGAATTTGTTTATCGTCCTCGAGCGGTCCGGTCTACGGACAGAAAGTTTACGCGCGCAAAGGTCGACGGGTCACGTGGACATTTCGTACACACGGAGAGGGGATCGGCTGGTCCGTTTCGGCTATAGTAAAAAAAAGTTAGCGATGTGTTGCAGAAGTTCACTCGTATCCGTTCGGTACGCATTAAATTTTCTCGATTTTATTGCTCGGTGTTTACATTATCCAGTCTCGTACTTGTTACTCTGAAATTATTAGTATTAGGTGTAGAAATTAGTTCTCTGCCTTCGCATTCAATTGTGGAATTCCGGAATGCGGGACAGATTAAAAATTGAATCTTCTGTTTTTTTTTAATATTAGGGGGACCAGAAAGTAATGTCGTTTCCT